AAAAAAACATACCAAGGCATGAAACAAGAAACAGCCGTCGCAAGCAACCTGCCGAACAGAATATCACTCCACTGTCCCCACTGCAGGCCAACCCATGTCTCTGAAATGGGGCAAACCAATTAAAACCACGTCAATTTATCTCTCACCTCAGTGACATTCCTTTCAATTTGTAACTTCTCGAGTAAAGAATCAGTCACGCGGGTTGTCCAATCGAAGCAAAATATTCAAAATACAAAAAATGACACCCGGTACAAATAAGCCAAAAAGTTCAGCCATATTTACCGGAATGTACCGTATGAATCCGATTGGCTTCTCACCGTGTCTCCCTCTCGCACTGTCGTCAGCTCTCCATCACCGTCACACTCATGCCTGCTTCTTGCACCGTCGTCGATCAACCATCGTTTGTCGCCTCGCTGCCGCCGCTAAGGTTTTTTTGCTTTTTAAAAATTTTGATAGCACAAAAAAAAGTATTTTAAATTAGGCCTAGAAAACAATAGCACAAACTAACAATGAGATACAACAAACCACAATTACCTATAGGCGGAGTGGAGTCGGCCCCAATTTATGGGATGCAAATCACGCCGTCGAACCAGGCAAGAGCCTCGCCCGTTAAGTTCTCGACGGCGATCAGAAAGTCGTTCAATTTTTCGACCACGAATATCTGTCACCTCATCAAATCCATTTTTGTGTGTGTGTGAAGAGTAAATGAGCAGCGAGAGTTCCATTGGGAAGATGTGTCCAGAAACCATACTCCCCCATCCAATTTTGGTACAATAAGCTTTGCCTAGCTTTTCCAATGTTACCTTTAAGAATCATCTGCACTTGTATTCCACCAAAATTTAGCACATAAGCTAGAAATAGCAGAGCATATTGAAATAGGTAATTTAAAGCATGACATAGTGAAGATGGGTAAAGCTTGTAACACTGATTTCAATATCACTTCTTTGCCTGCAGAAGTCAATAGCTTAGATTTCTAGCTTTGGAGTTTACCTTGAATGGGTTCCAGAAGATATGCAAAGACCTCTTTCTTGGACTTACCAATGCCTAGAGGCAGGCCAAGATACCTAGTGGAACTGTGAGCTTGAATTCCTTGCAAGGCTGTACAAATGCTCAACTAAAGATTGGTATGAGTATTCCTACTAAAAAAATAGCTGATTTGTGAAAGTTCACAGTCTGACTAGTAAACAACCTGTACTTATTCAATAGAGCCATGAGAACATCAGCTTGATCTGCCCCAGCCTTACAAAAGAATAAGGAATCGTATGCAAAGAGTAAATGAGTTATAGAGGGACCATTCTGAGACAACTTCAACCCTTTGAGATGACCAGAATTACATGCATCCAGAATTAGAGCTGAGAGGAGTTTTGCAGTTATGATAAACAAGTAGGGGGAAAGAGGATCCCCTGCCTAATTCCTCTTGTGGGAGAAATATAACCACTCACTTCACCATTGATTTTGAAAGATAAGGATGTAGTTGATATGCAAGCCATGATCAATTTGACAAAGTCTAAGTGAAACCCCATTTGAACCATGATATTTTTTAAACTGATCCACTCAACCCTATCAAATGCTTCTATGAAGTCCAATTTGAGAGCCATGAAGTAATTCTTACCAGAAGAGTGTCTGTTCAGAAAGTGGAAAACCTCCTGTGCTATAATGACATTGTCCAATAATTGTCTTCCTTTAATAAAAGTAGATTGATATTCACTAATACAACAATCCCAACAAGACTTTAATCTTTGAGCAAGAACGTTAGAAATGACCTTGTAAACTACTGTGCATAGGTTAATTGGCCTGAATTGACTTAAGGTTGGGTTCAGAAGATGTACATTTAGGAATTAAAGACAAAATAGTATGATTCCAATATTAAATTCTTTACTCATAATCATAGTTTTTAAACCCGGCCCGATAATCGACCCGGGCAGGTTCTCGGGTCACCGGGTCAATTATTGAACCGGATAATTAATTTTAAAAATTTTAAAATTATATATAGAATATTTTTGTCATATAAATATACGTAAAAGTAGCAAAATTATATGTTTTGTGTATAAAATTTGTACATTAAAATGTTAATAATATGTATCTAATGAAAAATATTTACCATATATAAACATATATACATAGTTTTATTTTTAAAAAAACCAAAATATATATATATATATATATATATATATGGACCGGGTCAATGTCCCGGGTTGACCGGGTCAAGGCAGCGTTGGCCGAGTTTTGACCGAGTTTGACCGGGTCCGTTGTTGCCCGGTCCAGGCGGACCGGTTCCGGCTCCGGATCGACCCAACATGCTTATAATTTTAAATTATTAATTTCTTGATATAATTCATTTATTCTTTTTTTGCCTTATTGAATTATTCATGAGATAATTATTTAACAAGTTTGAAATACTAAAAGGTTCTAATACTTCTTTGAAGATACTAATTCTTCTTTTGGATTTCCAACAAAAAGCATCACAATTGTAACAACTAGAAAAACAATTAGACCCCAGTTCAGCCGATCTCAGAATGGCCACTCAAGTCTCCAGAATAAAAGGCCCCAAATGATGGACAACCAACTGAGCCAACATTAAAGCAAATACGATAAATTATCCATAGCAGCATATGCAAACTAATAGTTGTCCATAGCATCACATTATAGGAGATGACACAAAGCAACAGGTCATACATAGTTTAGTTTTTACAGCCAGAATTGCCAAAAACATAGTGCTCCACAAACACTGCTCCTATTCCATGCTCTCTGCCTCCTTTCGTGCTTGTGATCTGAGTTGAATATAAAAACATCTTATGTCAAAAGTTTGGGTACCGAAACCAAATTTTTGCCATAAAAATTCACACACATACAGAATTCAACGGATTTTGCCAGAGGTAGTATCTAAAATTCGAGGATTTGTTTCACATAAAAATAAAGACCAAAACTAAAGGAACAAAAACTAGACTCTTCATGGAGTACAAACCTTAGTTCTTTCAACTGTTTCTTAAGTCTGGCACAATGCTCCCTGTCAATAATCGCAGACAAAAATGAGTCATAAAAGCATTCTGTTCTTGTCTTTCAAACAGACCAAAATAAAATAAAATAGAGAGTCAGAGTAAAGCGAAGAAAAGGTATCATGCATTTTGAGTGAAATGGATTGCAACCATGAACATCTCATTTGTAACAATGTGATGTAGCATGAGAGGAAAACAATAACTTGATACCAAAGTAACTGAATTCTCACCCATTTTAAATTAACATCATTCATTGTTTAGAACTTTGAATAAAGGATTTGGCGATACCCAATAGCATTTGCTTTTAAAAATGACATTCAGTAATATTTTGAGCAAAACTATAGTGCAAATAACTCAAAAACCCAACACAAACTTATGAATTTTTCTAGTAAACCTATTTACTACACACTTCCGGAACAATTTGAATACTTTTGCATGTTGACAGACAATTAATTTAGCAAAACTCAAAATGAGTGTACAAGTTTCGAAAAGGATTACTAGGCATCCAAACATGATTCCTAACCCAATCATTAAATCCAACATAAATCACAAATGATCACTGATAAATGATTTGAGTCCAATACAGACCACAAAATAAGAGCACTATATGTCATGTAGATTCAGTAATCAACTAAGAACTTGGAAAAACAATATCGACCAAACATAAAGAATCTTAAGTCAAACCATTCACTCCTAAATTCAGCATGGATCCGCATCAGTTGTGTATGAGCTTTGCTGCAACCAGAGTTTGTAAAGGATACCAATAAGGAGAACATCTAATTATTCACAAGAGATCAATATAAAAAAATTTATTAAGCATTATTTTTAAAAAGTTTGAGAATTACTATTTGATTATTTTGCCAACATTCTTAAAGTAGTAATACATTAAACATATTATTGTTTTGGTTTTGTGTATGTAGGGTACTTGTGTATTTCGGCTTAATGAGTTTGTTTAAATTTTCCAATTTTGAAAGAAAGAAGTACCAAAACGTTGTGGAAATAACCGAGTCTGACATATAGTTCAACTTCAAACAGTATGCAACACGTATCAAAAGAACTAAGCATACATAACTTGGGTAAGCAATGAGAGAACTTACTGGTCACCATAATCAACCCTGTCATATCAGAACCAAAGAGGGAGAGAGAGAGGGGACACTTTTCAGTCAGTAAACAGCTTGTATAAAAAGATAGCCACAACCTAAATTTAGTTAGGCATAGCAAGCAGATACTTACAACCGAGGTAATCCCCAGTAGGACAACGCTGCCACTAAATTCTTAGCTATACATTCAATGGTAATCCCTCTTTCAGTTTCTCGAAATGCCCTATATACATAAGAAATGGTCAACTTATAGATAAAATTTAGTACAACCAAGAGACGGGAATAACACAAGTATTTACCAAAATTTAGACCAAAACTCATGTGCAGGTGTTGGGGAAGTTGATGCCCCCCGCGCCCATGCAGGTGCAGCCCGACTGAATTGTAAAACACAGCACAATAAATGAATAAATAAATATCCACCACCACCACCACCACCACCACCAGCAAATACAACAACAACAAAAGTGTAAAACATTGCCCACAATAACAATATATACCTGATTGTACGCCACATAGCAAGCAATAACGGCCAACAGAAACCTGAAAATACAGGAAAATGTTAAAAACGTATGGGAATAAGCTTTAATAGCCTGTCTGAAATTTAACGACCCATTAAAACACATAAAACAGGAGAAAACCTATCCGTTTTAAACGCAAGCAACAAACTTTCTCGAGAAATACGTCATTTGAGATCACAAAAAACATAAAATGTAGATATTGGTTTCGATTTGCGTCGGCCGCGTCACACGACGTCCTCATCGATGGATTTACTGGAGAGGCTGAGATCGTGTGACGTGACGGCCGCACAAGGCTTTCCGCCGGCTTCCTCGCTTCCCCAACCTTCGCCTTCCCCGGCCGATGAACAGAAAAAATCAAAGGGGGAAAGGCGCGCGGTGGTTGAAGGAGGAGAGACGGCGGTGGGGATCCTGTGTGTGTGTGTGTGTGTGTGTGTGTGTGTGTGTGAGAGAGAGAGAGAGAGAGAGAGAGAGAGAGTTACCACTTTCAAACCAGGGAGGAATGATTGATTGCTACCTTAGCCATTTGCCTATGTTCCCTATGTTTTCACTGCGCCGTGCCCTAAATGGGTTGGGACCATTGGTCGGTTTAACGTTATGGTAAATTTAGTATGTTTTGCAAATAAATGTAAACTAATACAATAACCGTGTATTATACGGGTGTTGAATTATAAAGTTTTTGTAAAAAATATTAATTTTTTTTATTTTTTTAAAAATTAAAATAATTTAATTTTATATAAAACATTACTTTGGGTTTTAATTAAATTGTCAAATTATATTTTATAATTATAATAATTAAACACCCGTAAATTAAATGAAAATGTCAACCCGTGTTGAATTTTTTATTTATATTATATAAAATTATCGATATTATTTACTATTACATAAGTGCAAAAATATATATATTAAATAAATAGAAATAATATGATGATATGTATATGCATAAGAATAGAATATGTTTATTTAATATTAAGCAAAATAGATTATTTTTTTTACTTAATTAGATGCCTAATACATCGAGTGTCCTATCAGTCGTGATTCACAGTTTTTTAACTTTATATGTAAATTTAGAATTTAGATAAATAATTATTTATTTTTATTATATTGACAACATACCAATTAGATTTGAAATGAATATCATTTTTAAAAGAATACATACTAGTTTCTATTACTTTATAACATAAGTTATAGTTTTATTTGATATAATTTAATTTAGTTTGATAAATAAATTTAATTTTTATTTATAAGGATATATATTACTGTTTTGTCAAATCGAAAATCGTTAAAAGATAGTTAATTTGATATATCATATACAAAAAATAAAAAAAATAAAAAAAATTATAAAATCTTAAAATAAGAAGAAGAAACATTTATAAAAACTAATGAATGAATTATATAAGAAAATGAGGTGAAATAACTACTTTTGTTTTTGAAGAAATTTTGTCGGCTTACGTGTGTGATCTTTTGATTTGTTGCTTTTCTACTTGAAACTTGCCCATATAGCAAGGATTCTGGGATTTAGAAAACAACATAAACCGGATTGACGATCATGCTTATCACATATAAAAATAAAAAATATTAATTTATATTCAAGTCTAATTCCAAAGTATAGTTTTTTGCCACATAGGATTGCGAAGCATGAGAGTTTGCCAAGTAAGCTCAGCACATTCTGAAATTATATATAGAGGGGATTGAATGTATATGTGCAATATAAAGAATAATGGTAGGTATAGGGTGCAAATTCCTCTTTAGTTTATGCTTAGTTTGTGAATGGATGTTTGTTTTTTATGTTTTCAATGGTTTATTTATAGTTTATGTTTGGTATATTAGAAGATTTTTTTGTTGAAAACGAATTTGACAAAACATAAACTATTTTTTCTTTTTTATGTATATGTACGGTTATATTCAGTATATTTTCGGTATATGCTAAAGAAATTTATCGCAAGAAATAATTTTTATGTATAAAATCAGTTTATATTCAGCATATTACTAACATATACTGAATATAAACTAACATAAACTCAATATATATCACCTGACTAAATTAAGGAATTCAAGTTGCGTGAATCAAGGAATTAAATGAGTTAGTTATTTATTTTCATTTCCCTCTCTTAATCATTCACGTAAAAAGGGGATGAAAGTGGAAAGAATATGGTAACTGACTTTAGGCATTAATATAGATAAATAAAGTGTTTTAGGTAGAGACATAATTATTTCAACTTCTATGATAAAGTTGCAATTAATTTAAAATCACATAGCATAAATAAAATTTTCCCTCGATTATTTAACACAGAAAAATACAATAATCAATAATATCAAAAAATAAAAGTCACTAAGGATAATAATAAAGGCCAACATAGACATAAAACCAGAAAATACAAGAATCCAAAGGTTTAGGTGAATGCCACAAGACAGACTAATTAGTTATACCACCGCATAAGACCAAACAAGAAGAGAGATGCTAGTTTAACATATTTTCACACCCCATGTCCACAAAAGCATATGTTCTGCCAAGTACTACAATAATTAGAACCAACTTCAGGCTGCCAAGTACTACAATAATTAGAACCAGCTTCAGACTCCAATATTTCTGCTGCTCTTCGCATTTTCACTTGTGACTTCTGCTCGGAACCTGAGTTGCACAGAAAACATCTTATGTGTTGATGTCCAAACTCACATAGTAATTATAACAAACCACAGCACTTGGCAATCCAAGATTCTACTCACATGACATTACAACTAGGGGTGTTCAAACTTCGATTCAAACCAAAATAATCGGCAGAAATGATGAATTTTGTTTGGTTTTACAATAATAATTTGGTTTTGAGTTTTTATTAAGACCTTACTCGATTATTTCAGCCTGTTATGGTTTGTTTCTGAAATAACCAAACCGACCTATACTATATTTAAAAACAATAATATAAATGTATATTATTTAAGAAATACCCTAGTACTTCCCAGTTCCCAAATGCAATTAAAACTTCAAATTATCACACTACCCTTCACTTATCAGTTAACAAAGCAGCAGCCCTGTCCAAACACACTACAAATGGTGAAATTCTAGTGCTCTTGAAAATTGCAGTCCTTAATTGTTCCTTCCTCAAAGATAATGTTGTCCCGTTTGCCCTGAAATTCAGAAATTTCCAAACTCGCAGATTTGACTATTTACCCCCAAATTCGGATTTCAAGTCCTCGCCCTCACCCCTCGGGGTGCTTCATCGTCGCCATCATATCCCTAAGGTGCGGTGAACTCAATCTAAATCGGCAAAGTTAGGGTTTCTGAAATCGGAATTGGGACAAAAGGACTATTCAATTGTGAGAAGGAAAATTGGGGAGATGTTATTATCTTAGTGGATGTTTGAGTATCTTTATAGTTATGAGTTTATTAGTGTTGGTTGTTTTAATGGTAGATGGCCAACAGTCAATTAGTTAAAAAGGGAGCAACAACGTGATGTAAACATTAAGCAATGAGAATCATTTTCTTCCCCAACTCTTTTTTCCTTCTATCTGTTCCATCTCCCTCATAATCCTTCTATATCTCTACATAAAATACAGTTCAATATAATACAACAGAAATTCACAAAAAATAGTCGGCCCACCACACATAAGGTTTACGTTTTACTCTCTAGTCTTGGCTCAAGTCAGTATATATCTTTTTTGTCAATATAATTTTAAGGGATCTCAAATCTTGCTGAGATGAAAAGTTTTAATTTTTGTCTCCCTGTTTTTATCTCAAGTTAGAGTTTTCAATATAAATTTATGGTATTATAAGATCTACCCAAACGGGCTCATAAATTTGTGGTGTAAGATTAATTAGGAATTAATGCATACCTCATAATAGAATGCTCCAATTTCTCCCTGCCAATAGTTTATCAACAAACTTTCAGTGACAAAAAAACTAAAAGCACCCTCGTCAACCTAACAAGAGAGAATGCCCAAGAGGAAATAAATCATTTACTCGAACCTTTCCTTCCTCACGCGATCCAGGCATTTTAGGGTTTCCTCGCTGCAATAACAACAAACAACATGATAACTTTGAAATTCTACTGAAAAAGTGTCAGTAAGACCAACACAATATCGCATAAAAATGTTTGGTAACCGTCATGAAAAGGAAACAAAAGGCAAAATGATAATACATATCTGCAAAATTAGCTCACACTGAAATGAAAAAATTTCTCTTGGGAGGTATCAAGAAAGAATTTGGAGGGAATAAGATCAATGAATGCAGAAGAAAAGATTCTATTGCCTTTGTACCTATGGGATAGAGATAAAGAACAAAAGAAAAAATCGAATATTTCACANATATTTCACATTTTTTTATACAAGTAGAGAAATAAAAAAGACATGCATACTCACATCTCAAATCGGCGTTTTTCAGCTATTTGTTTCCTGCAATGGGAGAACTCTTACTTCAAAATCTTAGAGTGCAATGATAATGTATAGCAAACAATTAAAAAAATAAGAAAATGAACTAAAATGAGAGTGGATATAAGATTACATACCAATGACCATCAGAATCCACGCTGCAGTTAATAATGTAATCCAAGGAAATAGACCAAATTAGTCAATGAAAAATAGAAGGGAAAAGAAATGAGTACCAAAGGGACTAAGAGGTGGTGAGGTTGGAAAAAAGGTTATCACTCACAGGTACGAAGAGCAGGTATACAAAGTCCAAGGCCAACATATGCACAAACTCAAGTTTCCTAAAGAGTAGATCACAATGAGTAGAGTAATTTAACAACGAGCAAACACACACACACACACTTAACATTAACAATCTTACTTTTCAGAAAGACAGAGGTACGAGTAGCTGCCATACCCCAAATATCCCTACACCAAATATGCACAAATCAAATCAACAAGATAATAGTTGTCATGCAAAGGAGAACACTCAACTCATGAATTATCATACTATATGTCAGGAATGAAGTTTAGTTTTTATCTTTTTGCACAAGAATTACTCACAATACATCTACTACCTTGTCATGGTGCTCATTCACCGTTCATCATTTTTAAATAAGCTTGACAAGGACATATGAAGATTTTGGTGATCCAATTAAAACACGTAAAATAACAAATAAGAGAAGCAAAAAAAAAAAAAGAATCTCCGTTCATTTCAGATCTAGATTTTTTGTTTTGAAAAAATAACAAGAATTTAGCAACAAAAAAAATAAATTAGCCTAGGTCATTGCCCACAACGTCGTCCTTGTCTTCGGCGAAAGGATACGGATTTGCCGGATATCGGACGGCAGAGAGAGAGGTCGTGTGCTTTGACGGCCGTACAGGGCTTGTCGCCGGCGCCGCTACATGACCTTCGCCTTCGGCAGTGTGTGTGTGTGCGAGAGAGAGAGAGAGATTACCTCTTTTCGCTGCGATAATGAATTAGGGGAAGTTGGAACGATGCGCATCCGAAAGCTTTGTTTTTAAATGGTTTTGGATCATACGATGGTTCAATGAGCCAACATTATGTGGAGTAGAGAGCATTGGGGATTGGGCCGATGCAAGCTTGACAAGCGTCAAAATTTTGGATACTCTCTATATCTTCTACATCTATCTATATTAAAAAAATTCACAAATAAATATGGTGAATGAAACTTCAAATCTTGTATTAGTTCTTCTTCTTTTTCTTTAAATTTTGGTGGGTAAATTGTAAGACAGGTTGTCCTCTCTCTCTCTTTATTTATTTTATTATTGCCTCTGACGTTTTGTCTAATCTTATTGTGCAGGTTGTGACTCTAATTCTTTTTGTCGGCTTAAAATTAGTAGGTACTCTTCTCTTATTTCTCATCTATATTTTTTACAGATAATGTTTGATGTCTTGTAAAGCTGATCCTCATCAAGCTCACCAAATTTTTCAAATTCTAAATTGTTATTGTATTGCATCTAGGCAATCAGTCAACCTTCACAAGTCCAACATTTTTTTTCTCCAATCCTGGTCATTTGAGAAATAGCATCTGTAACATTTTTCCAGGCATTGCAGTTAAATATTCCAAATACCTGGGGCTTTTATTTGGGATTGGTAGGTCTAAAAGAGATACTTTTTCTTTTGTTAAAGAGTGTATTGTTTCAAAAATGTAAAATTGGAAAAATGAATTTCTGAGTGAGGTAGGCAGGGGGTTTGTTTGTCAAGACTGTGTTAGCTGCTCTGCCTATATATGTTATTTCTGTTGATAAATTGCCTTTGGGTTTGTGTGATGATATTGTAAGTGTGTAGCCAATTTCTGGTGGGAAAAAACATATGAGGGGGGCAATAAGATTCACTGGCTTAAGTATGTAGAGCCTTAAGTATGTTGTAAGTGTGATGAGTTGTCATCACATCTTTCTTCTTCGAGGTATACAGAGTCGGCCCTGAGAGCTGGGAGGTCGACTTATGATCATATGAGGCTTCGGAGGCTACACTTGGTTAGTTTTTTCGAGTGAAGTCGACTTTGGAGAATCAACTTGGTGAAGTCGACTGCTGGGAGTCGACTTTAGGGTATCTAAATGCTTGGAGGTTACGCTCTTGTTGTTCTTCTTATACGGATGTCGACTATTGCAAGTCGACAGACTGAGGTCGACCTGCGAGAGTCGACTGGCAAGATTTCCGCCTCTTCACGGTCGTTCTACGGAGGGTCGACTTTGCGGAAGTCGATTTGAGTATGTCGATGGGAACATATCATCATGTAGACGGTCTGAGTTGTTATCTGGTCGAGTAGAGTTCCAGAACCGGTATATGATAATATGGCTATATCAACAAGTATACAACATATTTAACATATACAGAAAAACGATCGAACATATACACAATGTACAACGAATACACAATATACATAATAAAAAACAGTATATTTGTCTGGAACATATACAGAAGAGATACTCATTGTATACAGAAAATAAATCAATGTTGTTATTATATACATACAGAAGATAGTTACCTCTGCCGATTTAACTTCTGTACCACACAGGCCTTTCAAATTGAAGGAGAAAAGTTGTCCCAGTAACAATACAGTTAGATAAATATCTCAAAATCCCAAAAAACGTCGTAATAAGCAACAAATCGCGAGTACAAATCAACTCCCAAGAAAAAAAATGTAGCCCCATCGGTTCGAGTCTGGTGGCTTGGAGATCGTGGCTCGACGTCGGAGATTGAGGCTTACGAAGGTCGCAGCTCCGTCGGAGGTCGAAGGTCTCCAGAAACTAAAGCTTGATCGTCGGTGGTTCATGTATGTTTGGTCGCGGGTCTGCTCTGCGTGTTTGGGTTCGACTTGCCGCGGCATGAGTGGTCGGCTCTCGTCGACGCCGGGATTGATGCTCTTGGTCCGGTGGAGTTTGGTNGCCGAGGAAGATGACAGAAAAAAAAAGAGTTTGAACGGGATTAGGTTTATGGTAATTTTACTAATAAAATAATAGTTTGGTATAGATGCAATAAAAATTTTGTTGTATCGTAAGTTGTGCAAATTTCTCCATCCAATAGCTTTGTTTTTAAATGGTTTTGGATTATAGGATGGTTCAATGGGCCAACATTATGTGGAGTAGAGAGCATTGGGCCGATGCAAGCCTGACAAGGGTCAAAATTTTGGAACAAGTAAACGGTCAACGCCGGAGTCAACGAGTCAAAATAATATTTAAATAATTAAAATAATAAAAATAAAAGAGTAAATCTAGGCCACACATGATGTACCAAATCTTGTGGTTAAAAATAAGTCTCACGTCCACACTTTAAATAAATGGATGCATTGGAATTCATATATATATATATATATACTAGAAGGCTACGGCTGTGCATAGCACAGCCGACCCAAGGTTGGCAGACAAATGATGGATTTGAAACTGTGAAGATTTAACTGCTATTAGGGAATAATCATCATATTAGCAAAATATGAACCCATAACTTATGTACATCAAAAAAGGCACAACAGTTAGTACATAACCAAAAAATACACAAATTCTTCATTAGAATTCAAAAGCATCTATATATAAATAGATGCTTGGAATTCAAGGTACCACAATTTGCAAAAACAAAAAGCCAGTTTGTGTCGCATATTCACCATTAAGTAGACACACAGAATGTAGCAACATCTATATGTGAATAAATGGCTAAAAAGCTGGGTAAGAGAGATACAAAAGACAAAAGACATGTTCCATGGCATATATGCCTTCCAAAAGTTTTAGACTGCAGTAATACAGGAGTTAGTCCATTTTTGGACGACTTTTCTTTGTAGGGCTTGCATTACACATCGTACTGGTTTGATGAGTTTCCTGGGTGGATGATTCAGGATTGTGGGTGAATGGTTCACTGCTTCCTGAGGTAGAGGATTGATGGCTGTTGAAGTTGATGCGTTTTTTTACCGATAATTCCAAAGATGCAATTGTTGTAGGCTTTTCACGTGCTAGAGTGAGGGAGTCAAGAATATTTTTCAGTGTTGGACTGAAGAGCTCTTTGTCCGTTATCTGTTTCGTCAATGTAGATTAGTTGCAGTAAGATGTTTATTCAATAATAGTTTCATAAAATTTTTATATATGTCGTAGTTGATATTGTACCATGGTTGAAGCTGAGGTCGATCCTTTTTGTGTTAGGTCTTTAGGTTCAAGCAATTTTTGTCTGCCTGCGTGCCATCCATTGTATAAAGCTTTAGGACAATGTGGTGAGTTGATTAGTAGTGTTTGATGAAGCAAATCACATGATGTTCATTCATTGTTGCTGTAATCTGGGCAGTCAAATCCACACCCTGTACCCCAAAAAATAGTTAAATAAAAAGGATAGAGAAAATCCTGTAAGCCTAAAACAGTTACGACTGATTATGGAAAGTAATAAACAGTACGATATGAATTTCCAAATAATTAGTTGCTTATGAAACTGTTTTTTTGTGCTAACAAACACCCAAAGAATAAAAAAAAACCTTTTAAAGAAAAAAAAAAAGAACAGAGGTTGATAAAGAAGCAGAGATCATAGAAGAAGGTAAAAACAATATTTGAGTGTCAAAAATAAACTCTAAAGAGGCTTGACATCAATTAGTGAGTAGCTAAACAATTTATTTTATATACTAAGTTATGAAAATATTCTAATTCATTAATATTCTCAAACATAAACACATAGGCAATGAAAGTAATATTGCCTGATATTAACCTAGATAAGGAGAAACTTTAAATAATCTACAAAAATGCTTTGAGATTCTGAAGTTAATATTACAAAATGATATGCATATGTGTGGTAATTTCAGAGGTCCCAAAAAACTGCAAAACAGAAGTTATATTTCGTTTTTGTTTCTGTACAAATTATTGTAAATGAATATGTTACATCACTTGTTGTTCGGCTTGATATAAGTCAGTCCCATTAAATGGAATCACTCGTTCAGCATCTGAATCATACAACATTGCATGTATGTTTCCAGTTTCATCTTCAATTGCAATCGGCAACCGGCACCTAATTGTTGTGAATGAAATAAAAGGGAATGTATATTAGTTTGAGGGTAATACAGTTAAACAAAACAATCTGCAGAGTTTCATAAACATTAAAGGTTTGTAATAACTCATGTGTAAATTATTTGCCACTACAACTATGAAAGAATGATTATAATTTTCAGAGGAAAATTTGGTACCTGACTGAAAAAAGTTACATAGCCAGAAATGTCAGGATTAAATGTACATATATTAAGATAAATATAAAATATTAGCAAAAGATAATACAGCAAGATTAATAATTATATACATTAATAATATGCAGAAGTATGGAAATTTAGAATCTGTTAGTTAAGTTGTTTGAGTGATGTGTGGAAATAATTTTTTGGGTGGGCAAAATCTGTTGGGTAAGCAGAATGGCATGTGGCATGCAATTAAAAGATACATGAAAGGTAAGCTGGTAGGAAAAGACTAAGAAAGTTTTATTTGGAAAGAAGAAAAAAAAATATATAATTGTAGACTTGCAGTTTGATTTTCTTAAATTCATAAAAGTTGTACATATTTATTTATTAATTCAAACCTTGCTTCAACAAGGGTATCTTCTTTGCAACTTCGACATTTGACGGGCGTATTTGGAGGCACATTATAATTTTTGCGGCAATTGCTGCAGGTAGCTGCCCATAAAGACATGTTGTCTCCTAAATATTTCAGCTTGCCAGCAACCCAACAAGTTTTAGTCTAACAAATTTTTTTTTTAAGTTAGTGGCTGTAATTTTATACTATTGAACTTATGGTGCTGAACATATTATGTGATTTGCATAAGCGTAATACGCTGTAGCTTATGTATCTGATTGAGGCCATTGCGCGTTGGACGGTGATTATATCACTGGCAGATGGGAATGGAAACAACTTGTCTGTGTCTTTATACACTCCTTTCTCCACAAGCTTTGCAACATCTGCTTTCTTTTCAGCGTACCTGTTAAAGAGTATGTAAGATGCAACAAAAAAGTGTATTGTAATGCTACAATTATTGTATTGAAAATTGTTCAATACGCACCATTGCTTCCACCTGTCAGCCCAGGCGATATTAGTGGATTTATCATCAAGCAAGTTCCTGTCTTAGTTGACAATGACAGTCCTTTATGAGGGCAATTGTGTTAGTTAGAAATGAGTAAACAATTACTTCTAATGTTAAAAAATGAAATTGCGGTACATGCTACCATTAAATGTCGTAACCCTTGTTCTCATGGATAGAATGATGTTCTCAGCTGCCACTGTATCAGCTAAGTGTTGACCAACATCATCTTCAGTGTCAAATTGATTCCAGAGAGTCAAAAGGAATGGTTTCTCCCTGGTGAGCAAACATTTATAAGCCTATTGACATATCGATAAAAAATTATGAGGTAAGGTAAAATTCTTACTCTTCATTGACAATGACTAAGTCTCGTGATGTGTTTATTTGGCCAACACTCTTGACCGGAAAAGCGTGCACGATAACACCAAGTAGGTTTAGTAAAGTTTAAATGCAATAGCGTAAGTTAGTTTATTGTTTAAGAAAGGTGCGCGGAAAATTAAACTAAACTAATATTTTTAATTTGAGCCAATTGAACTCACTTCTGGGGTTGTCTGTATCTGCGTATTTGTGTAAGTCCACAAACGCATGAATATCAATTTGGCATGGAAGTTGAGACGGCACTTCTTCCTGGAACTCTTCAACTAAAGTTATTTTATGCAAGAGCCAATACTGAAAGTTCGTTCTCACCACAATCGTATGATTCAGGAAATAGGGCCTCAGTTTTCTGGCCGTTATAACTAGTGTCAAGGCGGCTTTCTCGACTTCTGGGTATCTCGCCTCCGCTCCTTGGAGTACTCGACTTGTGTAGTAAATAGGCTGTTGGGAACTTCCATCTTCCCGCAGCAACACTGAACTCAAAGCATACTCCCCCACCGAGATATATAAAACCAACTCGTCACCTGGTTCTGGTTTGGTCAACAAGGGCAGCTCGTTCAGGAACTCTTTCAACTTCTCAAAGGCCATCTGCGCCTCGTCACTCCATTTGAAAACCGTCTTCTTCTTAAGTAGTTTGAAAAAAGGAAAACTCCTCACGGACGCTCGAGCGATGAATCTGCTCAAGCCAGCAATCCTTCCCGTTAGTACTTGGACTTCTCTAATGTTTCGCGGTGGAGCCATGTCGAGTATGGCCTTCACCTTGTCTTTGTTCACCTTGATTCCCCGCTCTGTGACGACATATCCCAAAAATCTCCCCGCCTTTACTCCAAAGGCACACTTGCTCGGGTTCAACTTCATCCCAAACATCCTAAAGGTGTTGAAAGTTTCCCTTAAGTCGTCTGGATGTGAAGTCAAGGACTTGCTCTTCACCAGGATGTCGTCGACGTACACTTCCATATTTCGACCGATTTGGGGTTTGAACATTCGATCCATCAATCGCTAGTAAGTTGCTCCTGCATTCTTTAGGCTAAAGGGCATGACGACGTAACAATACGTCCCCTTACTCGTCACGAAAATCACTTTACTTTGATCCTCCGGAGCCAAGGGGATTTGGTGGTATCCCTGAGATGCGTCCATCATGCTCAACAACTCGCAGCCAGCTGTGGAGTTGACTAGCTGGTCGATTCTAGGCAAATGATAGTGAACTTTTGGGCACGCCAGGTTCAAGTCGCGAAAGTCGTGCACATACGCCATTTGTTCAATGCCTTCCTCACCATCACTGTGTTAGATATCCATTCGGGGAATTGGATTTCCTTGATATGTTTGGCCTTTAGCAGTTTGTCCACATCGACTTCAATTGGTTTGTCGATTTCAGCACCATGGTGCCTGAGTCACTGCTTCACAGGTTTCTTGAGGGGGTCGACATTGAGTTTGTGTTCCATAACATCCGGGTCGATTCCCGTCAATTCCTCAGGAGAGAAAGCGAATATGTCTCTGAATTCCTTTAGCAATCCTACTAACTGTTCTCGCAACTCGTCCTCCAACTCTCTCCCGACTTTGGTGGTTTGGTCTTTTGACTCTCCTATTTGAATTTCCATCAATTCTCCGTGGGGCTCGAGGTCGCTCCCTCTCGGCCTCTTTTCGCTCGTCATTGGTTTCTTGCCTTCCTTGACCTCAGCACGTTGATTGGTTTTGACCGCGATCTGGTAACATGTTCTCGACAACTTTTGGTCCCCTCGAGCCTCTCCCACTCGATCTCCTACGGAAAACTTCAACTTCATGTGATAAGTCGACACAATTGCTTGGAAGGCATTGAGCGCCGGCCTCCCAAGGATCACGTTGTAAGCCGACTCGACATCGACCACCTCAAATCTCACCATTTTTACTTTTCTCAAGTCGCCTTCCCCCAAGACGACAGCGAGCGTGGTCTCTCCCAGGGGAGCGACTTCCGATCCATTGAATCTAAAGAGTGATGTATGTAGAGGTGTAAGTTCAATGTCAAGCTCCATCCTTCTGAGGCATTCATAGAAAATTACGTTTACGGAACTCCCGGTGTCGACAAACACCCTCTGCACCTCATACCCCGATATCTGCGCAGTTATCATCAGGGCATCATTATGCGGCCTCTCGACTTCACCAACGTCTGCAGGTCCAAAGTTCATCACTGGTCCGCTCTCGTCGACCTGCTGCACCTCGACTTTCGCATATCGGCCTCGAGCATATGCCTTTCTTGCTCGATTGGAATCTCCATTAGTCGACCCTCCAAAAATCATGTTAATCACTCCTCTTTTGGTGGGAGCTCCTCATTTTCTGGTGACCTTGCCCTCTTTCGAGGACTCTTACTTCTCTCTCGTCTCCTGCTTGACCTCTCGCGATCTTTATATATGAATTCCTTCAAGTGGCCCGCCTTTATTAGCCTTTCAATCTCGTTTTTCATATGTCGGCAATCGTCAGTGTTGTGCCCGTAATCTTTGTGGAATCGACAATATAAGTTACTTTTGGGCTTCATGGGTCCGTTCTTCCTCGTCCGTGGCCATCTCACCACATCGTCGTGGATCTCCCTTTCCATTACTTCCAGAATTCTCGCGTGAGGAGCCGACAGGGGTGTGTACTGAGTTGGTCTCTATCCCCTAGATCGGCCTTCACCCCTGTCAGCTCTCGGTGATCCCCTTCTTTCTCCTGTCGATTGACCCTTCTTTTCCTTCTTGTCGTCTCAACTGTCAGTTTGGGACATTTTCACACTTTGCAAGTAGTCGGCCTCTGCTTCTTCAACATTCATATACTTAGCACACCTCCCCAAAACGTCATCGAAACTTCTACCGGGTCGCTTGGCCAGAGAGTTCTTGCATAACCCTGGTAGTAGTCCTCTCGTCAACCCTCCTGATTTGATTTCCTCTGTTGCCGTTGGGTACTCGACACACGCCTTTGTAAACCTCGCCACATACTCTCGCAGCGATTCACCCTTCTTTTGTTGCATGCTTATCAACGAGAGATAGGACTTCTCCTGCACCCTCACACTCGCAAATTGGTTAAGAAAGCTCGAGCTAAAGCCATCAAAATCCCTAATCGACCCAGCTGGTAAGTGATGAAACCAGTCTTGGGCCGACCCTGTCAGAGTCGTCAGGAAAGCGCGGCATTGCATCGGGTCGCTGTAACGATGAAGTACGGCCATATTTTTGAAACTCCTCAGATGTCGAGACGGGTCAGTGGAGCCATCATACCATATGTTCAATTCCCTGAAGCCCTTAGGCAAGTCGGCTCTCAGGATCTGCTGCGAGAATGGGTGTTCTTTTGCTCCTCTACTCTTCTTCCCACCGACTCGAGCTTGTAAGTCGCGGACCTGGGCCAATAGTTGTTCTAACGTCTCGTCCCTTGCTTGTGGATTGATAGTTCGAATGGAGAATTCTTCCTCGTCCACCCTTCTGTTCTGTTGTACGTTTGACTGGGTTTGCTGTTCGACACGAGGTTGCTGCTCGACTCGAGGCGGGTACTCGACACGGGGCTGCTGTTCGACCCGGGTTGGGTACTCGACTCGAGGCTGCTGCTCGACCTGCGCCATTTGCTTCATCTGGGCAGCCACGGCTTCAGCGATCATCTTTTGCATTTCGCTCCTCGTCATCGTCAAGGTCTGCTCCTCGACGCGAGGTTGGGTCTGTTCCGGTACCTCCTGTATCTGTTTTCCCTCGCGTCGAGACATCTCCGTTGGCTCCTTCTCTCCATTTGGGTTAGGGTTTTGACTTGTTCCCGCCTGGGTCAACACTTGCAGCTTCACTCCAGTCGGAGTGACAGGTGTTTCTCCGCCCAACGTCAGTCCTGGTGGTGGAGGTCCTCCAAATGGTGGCATCCCCATCATCTGCATCACTGGGTGTTTGGTGGTGGAAAGTGGTGGTGGCCTCTTGTCCATCCACGTCCCTCTGAACTCCTCGTTCAGATTCCTCTGCAAACCTTCCTTCTCCGCCATCGGCAAACAGATCGGAGCTGGGTGTGAAGCTCTTTCTTCCTTCAAGAACGTCCACAGACGGCGCCAATATGATGGGTCTACTTCCAGATCTGAGGTAAACCAGTGAATGTGAGCTCAGATCTGCTTGAACCGCCTTCGAATCGTTGCTAGACCGCGAGATACCTGCAAAAACTCAATGCCGGAGGTGTTTCCGGCGTAGAGCCTCCGACGCTCAAGTCAGTATGAGAGTGATGAAGAGAGGCTGCGCAGCAGCTATGGGGGAGAGTGGGAATGAATGAGAGTTAGGGTTTGGGGTTACCTCACCTCCTTTATATAGGAGTGAATACTTACTTGAAGTACCTAAAATGCCCAAGTCGGTGGACCTAGAAGGTCCAAAATACCCCGGTCGATTCGTCTCCCCTTGCTGCTGAGTCATCACAAGATTCCTTCTTATCCTTTGTAATATGTGGAACTTCAAGTATGCTGCAAGTGTGATGAGTCGTCATCACATCCTTGTTAATTATTATGCAGATTTCCAAATCTGCATAATAATTAAAAAAAAGCATAATTAAGTAACGGACTAACGGTTAATTTGCGCTAACATAAATCCTATCGTTTTCTATTTAACTCACTTTATTGAATTCATACAAGAAACACAACTAAATTAATCTCACAACTACAAATGAGATTTGAGGGGAATCAACTCTATCGGTGACTACACTACAATTATCAATTTTGTTTAATTGTTAATTTTGTTTAATTGTTGAATCAATACATATATCTATACGAACTTGAACTTGTATTGATCCAACTTCAAAAAAATTGCAGATTGAAATGAACCAAATTCCACACCACAAATATAGAAACTCCACATAATGTGAACACAATTAGAAGAAGCTAAGATACCTTTTGAATTGCTCAACAATAATGGGGATATTTCATTTGACCCCACAAGATTCGGATGAGGCACGAGTCCTCCACACGCCCCTGCACATATGGCCCTTTTTCTCTCTCTACGTGGTGACTTCCCATTGGCCAGTAAGAGCCGTATACCGATTGGTCTTTTTCTATATCATCCAAATCCCACACCCTTTCAACTGCTCCACACGCACACACCAGAACTTCAAGTATGCTGCAAGTGTGATGAGTCGTCATCACATATTTGTTATTCGAGGTGTGTGGGGTCGACTTCGAGAGCAAGGAGGTCGACTTGTGGATATGTGCAGATTCGGAGGCTACGCTTGGATGGAGTCGTCTTCAGAGGGTCATCTTAGTTGAGTCGACCGCTGAGAGTCGACTTAGGATATCGGGATGCTCGGGCGTTATGCTCTTGCTGTTCTTCTTCCATTGATGTCGACTAGTGAAAGTCGATAGACTAAGATCGACTTGCGAGAGTCGACTAAACCAATTTCTGCCTCTTCTCGGTTGCTCTTGGTAGAATCGACTTTGGGGAAGTCGATTTGAGCATATCGACGGAGTCATGTCGACATGCGAGTTGTTCGAGTGGTTCACCGGTCGAGTAGGGAGCCTCTGGACCGGGTTATTCTTATGTGGCTATATCACCGTGCATCCCACGAGTTATGCACTAGTTAAATAATAGCATTCAATCATCATTACATATCATACCAAATTTAATTCAGTATTCTTCTACTCACATAAATTAACTAATGACCACTTCAATTCATCTCGTTCATATTTTTATATCAAATTTTTAATTATTTTTTTTAAATTTTATTTNTGCCTCAATAACTATTATTAATCGCATGTACTATTATTAAAAGAAAAGAAAAATACGAAAAAAAGGAGACTTGAGAAGGTCCCAATCGAACAGAGCAGCAGCCTCGCTTTTCAACTCGAGGACTGCGAAAGAGAGAGCTCAAGTTATCTATAGATCTGAAGGTTTTTCATAATTCGACAGTAATCTATACAAATCGATAGCTCAATTTTCCGTCAATGGATCAGATTTTGAACAAGGTGGGCTCGTATTGGTTGGGTCAAAAGGCCAACAAGGAATTCAATTCGGTCGGCGATGATATCAACGTAAGATTCTGATCCGATCTTCACTTTCGATTCATTAACATTTGAGTTGATGTTTTTATCTGGAATTCGGCTTATTTTGTTTGGTTGTGTTTTTGGAGCTGTGTAAATTGGGGATCTTAGATATTGTTCTGTGACGTTTTATCTGTGAATATTGTTGATATTTAGCTTTGAATTGTGCCGATTATAGATTTTGGAAGTATTGACGGTGTTGATGTGAAGCAGTTATTGTTTTGGCGATGTAATAGTGATTCTATGGAAAGTTACTTGTGATACTTCATGGCGTTTCCGAAAATGAATCTAAATTCTATATTCCTGACTGCTAAAGGAGCTATAGTCGAGAATTTGTATGTTGAAATGAATAGGTTACTTGAGTTTCATTGGTTTTATGCTCGTCGTTGAACACTTCGGAAATTCGGTTGTATGAGGTTATTTGAACTAATTATTTCATTTAAGGTCTTTGTTGTCCATGAATTTTCATTGGCACTAGAAACATTGATTTTATGTTCATGAGCTGATTTTGGCTAGGTAACAGTAAATCAATGGAAAATTGTGTGCGAAAAGTCATGGCGTGTCAGGTTCCGCAACCACTCTTGCATTGGGGGATGAATCTAACATTTTGCATTTTTGACGGCTAAAAGGAACTATAGTCAAGAAAGTTTATGTTCAAAGAAATAGTTTACATAAGGTTCATTGAACACACTAGACGTTCAGCAGTATGAAGTTATTTGAACTAATTATTTCGTTTAAGTTCTTCATTGTTGGTGAATTTCAAATTTTCCCCTTGGCCACTGCCCTTACAGGTTTTTTTAATTGTTCGATCAACACAAACCTGCACGGGGGTGTGTGTATGTGTAATCGGATAGTTAAAACCCTCGTGGGGAGACATTAAATGCTGTAGCTCTAGCAAGATCTTTGCCCAAAAAACTACGGGGATGTATTCATTTGGGATTTTTAAAGACTTTAGAAATCCTGGTGTTTTTAATTTAAACATTTCAAGATTTTTTAAGATTTTTAAAAGTTTTGGGATATTCATTTGAAATTTAAAGCGTCTTACGAAATCCTGATGTGTTTAACTTATTTGAGACTAGGATTTGTTTATACTTTTTAAGATTTGCTGGGATTTCAAAAGAAAAAACCTTATACGAAATCGCACTACAAATCCCACCTCTAGACTTAAAATTTCATAGGATTCTTCCAAAATATGAAATCTTACAAAGTCTCAAATTTAAAAAAGACTTAAAATGTCACTCGAAATCCAAAACGAATACATGTGGTTGATGATATAAACTGGTTTATCTTTTCTTGTTGTTTATCTTTTGTTAGAAGCTCTTTCCTTGCAATGTAGTGATTTATTGCCTTCATAACTCGTTACATATTTTGTCCCTTTTTTGCCAGTCATTGTCGAATAGTATCGAAGGAGGAGCCAAATGGTTGGTTAACAAGCTAAAAGGTAGTTCTTCTTTGTTCAGTGCATCTTCTTTCATTCTGTTTCATACTTTTTCTTTGTGGTGAACAAATTTTTACATAGTAAGTATCCAGGTAAAGCTTTTTTTTGTAATGGTGCCCGATTTACCTCGTGTTAGTGGAAACTTAATTTCACACACACACACACAAAAAATGTGTGTTTTTTTCTTTCAGGAAAAATGCAAAAGCCGCTGCCCGAACTTCTCAAGGAGTATGACCTGCCAGTTGGTATATTCCCTCGAGATGCGACCAATTATGAGTTCAATGAGGAGACCCGAAAGCTCACTGTTTATATCCCGTCTGTGTGTGAAGTGGGCTACAGGGATTCATCTGTACTGCGTTTTTCCACGACTGTTACTTGTTATCTCGAGAAAGGTAAACTGGCGGACATAGAGGGAATCAAGACGAAGGTGATTGTTTGGGTGAAGGTGACCTGTATTTCTTCCGAGAAGTCGAAGATCCATTTCACGGCTGGAATGAAGAAATCGAGAAGCAGGGATGCTTATGAGGTTTTCAGAGATGGGTTTACAGTAGATAAGTTTTAAATATTAAGTGGGCTCCTCTTCATTGTGATGATAACTTTGTTTAACCTTGGCATGTATCAAATGTACTGTACCCCTTTGATTCTTCATGTGCTTGGATGTCGAAATAATGATACTTTATTTAATGCGGTAAATAATTTGGTTTGTGAGTGCTGGAAATCTGGTGCATGTTTGTGAGTGATGTATTGTTAGTAGTTTATTAACAATGTTAGCAAGAAAGGTTGAGAAAAAAATGTTATGGCAATATAATGACACGAAACAATGTTAAATGAATGTAGGATAAATGATGAGTTGATTGAATGGAGAAGTAACAGATTAGCTCCATAAATAGCTAAGT